CGGATTTCTCGCTTTCTGGTTATCACACGCACCCTATAGCAAAAACCTCTCAAAGAAAAGAAAAGAAAAGGGGACCAGCAGTTAGCGTAATGGCTATGTTGCCAGACTCCCATGTAGTCGACCGCGGTTCGAGTCCTGGACCCGGTGGCTTAAAACTCACGCCGGGCGCGTATGCGTGCGTGCCCAAGATCCCGAGAGGAGAATGGAGGAGAAGGGATTGCGGCATGGCTATCCCCCCTGGGGGGGGATTTCTCACTTTCTATCTCTCTGTCTCTGTCTGTCTGTCTGGTGAGCACACGCACCCTATAGCAAAAACCTGTAAAAAGCCCATCTCGGTAATAAGGATGCTCCCTCCCCTTTTAAAGTTTCCCTATGCATTCAATTGCTAGACATCATGTAGACTGTGAGCCTCCACACAGCCGACACACCTCAGACCAGCCGGTGGAGAATGCTATACACACCATCAACTGGTAATCAACCTCATCTGTGCCCCACAGAGGCCTCCTCTACTTCCCCCCAAATTTCCTTCCCTGTACGGTTGCCCTTTCCCACTCTCCTTCCACTGTGCCCCGAGTGTCTACAAATATGGAGTGCTTTGCGAATTTGCATGCCATCCCCACACAGGGGCCATGCGCTGGTTTTCACGCTGCTTGTTCAGCTACTAAGACTGCAGCAGTGTCAGTGAGGTCCTGGGCCAGCTGGTGGCGTGGTGGTGGCTGGAGCCCACATGGTTCAAGTCCCTTACCTGGAGGCTTGAAAAACACACCAGAGGCGTGTGAATCCCAAAAGGAGAGCGGAGAAGGGGTGTGGCACGGCCATCCCACCTGGGGGGATTTCTCAGTTTCCCTCTCTGTCTCTGGTGGAGCACAAGCCCTATAACAATGACAACAACAACAACAACAACAGGTCGTCGGCTTGTTTTTCTGCTCTCCAATTATCCGCATTTGCCAGAGATCTGCAGAGGGAGCCTGCAGCCCACTCCCTCGCCCACGTCTCGGGCCGTCAGGATCTTGAGCAGTGCACACACACCTGGTTTGCCGAGACACCGGGGTCAGGACCTGACCCGCACGGGTGGCCATGCAGGCTCTGGTTCCCTCTCCCTCTGGTGAGTACATGCCTTCTGGAATAAAAAAGAAAAAGTAAAGCGCACGCACCCGACAGCAAAAACCTCTCACAAACCAAGTACAGGGAGACTGACGAAATTCCACATCCTGTCCCTCGGATTCGGCCATTATTAGGCTCACGTGAAGATTGTTTCAGCTATTTCTCCCACACTGGTTTTTTTTTTAAGGGTTATTTTAAAATTTGCTGCCAGGCGTTTGTGCTCACCAGAGATTGCAGGAGAAAGCGAGCTGCTAGCTCGACTCGGGCGGTGGTGAGCCACGTGGGGATCCACTGCCTTCTCCACCCACCACCTGCGCGCCTCCCTCTCCTTTTCCCTAGAATTATCTAACTTTGGGGCCGGCGAGCAGTGTGGTGGTGAAGGCACTGGACTCCCACACGGTCCAGAACAGTTCAAATCCAGGACCCGGTGGCTTGCTTTCTCACTTTTCTTCCATCTTTGAGTCTCTCTCTGGTCAAATTAAAAAATAATAATAATTAAACGATCATTCTTTAAAAATTATTTTAATTAACTTTGTTCATTTACTGTTATTCTTCAATTCGACCAGAGAGAGACACAGATAAAAGGCAAGCCACCATGTGTGGAACCTGGACCGGTCGGTCATGTGGGAATCCAGCACCTTAAAACTGAACCATAGTGAGCCAAGCAAGAGTCCAGCACCCTGACCACCGTGCCACCTCCAGCCCTTTCTTACTGTGCGTGTGTTATCATCCCAACCCTCAGTCACCATGGAATTTCTCTTTTTTTAAGTTTTCACCAGAGGGCATGCGTACTCCCCGGAGAGGGATAAAGTAGCCCCACGTGGCCACGCCACCCAAGCACAGTGCCCCTGTATTTTTCAAGCTGCTGAGGCCAGGATTTGAACCTGGTGGTCAGGCACGTGCTACAGGACCAACCCTAAATTTGATTATTTGTGAGAGAGTGAAGACCTCAGTCCTTCACTGTGCTGTGAGGAAGGGCTCTTCAGTTCCTGGGCTGCCTCTCCTTCTCTCTCAGGTTGCTTTGGGGTGTATGAAGGTTTTCGAGCTTCTGAGTGCAGTCTCCCGACGGCCCTGCCTCACCTGAGTGTCAGCACGGCCCTCTCTGTTCCTCCCCTGCTCTTAGCTCCCAGGTCTGCCTGCCACGGCGGATCCTGACTGTTTATGAAACAAGCACAGCAGGAGAGGCAGGCGTACCAAGAGGCTCCAGACCACCGGCTCCACCTCCCCCGGCTGCAGCCCGATAAGAGCGTGAGAACCACCGGCAGCTGCTGAAACCCAGGTCCAGGCCTGCAGGGAGGCTCCCAGGAGAGGGCACTTAAGGAGGTCGGAGGTCAGAGCCCGGGAGCCCCAGTCCTGCAGAGCTGAGCTCAGGGCGGAGAGGAGGAGCCGGTCCAGCGGGTGGGGTGAGTCAGAGAGGGAAACTGCTGGGGGAGGCTCGGTGGCCTCTGCGGCACCTGATTGGGGCGTGGTCTCTCAGTGACCGCCCGCTGCTGTGTGGTCTCGGAGCTCATGGACAGCAGGCTGTGGGAAAGCGGCACGTGATGTCCAGTCCGCACCCAGCGGGCGCCTGCGCTTCGCCGGCCGCCCACTCTTCAGGTCCCCTCATCCTGGGTGTTCTGCCTTCTCTTTCCTCAAAGCCATTTTCTTGGAATAATTAGTTATTTGATGTTATTATTATTATTATTATTATTATTACTAATTTGACCAAGACAGAGAAAGGGAGAATGAGCAGCCAAGCCAGAGGCTCAACCCCATGGGCCCTGCGGGGGTCCAGCGCCTTGGCCATGGCGCCGCCTGCCGTCCCAAACCCGTTATTTTGCCCCGTCACCCGCGATCGGTTCTGCCCACCAGGGAGCTCCGAGAACCGGCGCTGTAACCAGGAGCTCCCGGTTCCTGGCTTCTTTCATTCACATCTCACTTGCCAGATTCGTTCAAGGTAAACTGAGTCCAGAATTTGAAAAATAATGTCGAGGTTTTTGCCTTAGAGCAGGGGCGCTAGGTAGAGACAGAGGGAAAGTGAGAAATGGCTCCCCCTGGGGGAAGTCCGCCCGGAATCCCTTCTCCAGTCTCCTCTCGGGACTTTGCGCCTTCACACGTGCGCTCGCGCACACGCGCACACACACACACACACACACACACACACACACACGCTGCGCACACGGGTTTCAAGCCACCGGTTGGGACTGGATTCATGGTCAGCCGTGTTGGACTTCAACACCTCAACCACTAACCACTAGACTTAACTGCTGGTCCTGATGCTGATTTTTTAAAAAGGAATTATTTATTTATATATTTTCTTTTTTGGAGAGGTTTTCGCTATAGGGCACGTGCGCTCGCCAGAAAGACAGAGAGAGAGACATAGAGACAGAAAGCGAGAAATCACCCCCCAGGGGGGATGGTCACGCCACAATCCCTTCTCCTCCATTCTCCTCTTGGGATCTTGGGCTCGCATGCACACACACCCAGTGTGAGTTTTAAGCCACCGGGTCCGGGACACGAACCGCGGTCGACTATGTGGGAGTCCAGCGACATAGCCATTACGC